GGCTCCGTCTCCACGTGGAGGAAGCACTCAGGCTCTCACAGGGTAAAAGCCAGCACAAGGAATGAGCTGATGGGCAGAAACCTCCACCCCCATGGCAGAAGGAACATGGAAGGGCAGCAAAATGCCAAAAATCTGCTCGAGGCCACAAGGCCGAGCTGCCTGTGCTTTGAACCTGCCGGAGCGCGCCCAAATTTTGTACGAACGGGAGATGCTCATTGCTGGGATCGTGAGCTCCAGCAAGAGCAAAATCTTAAATCCCTGAGGCTCGTGTGTGTTCCCCTGTTGTGAAGCTTGGCAGGAGCGTGTGGTGAGCACAAAGCTGTGGGATTGTGCTCCCACGGCCGCTCCCAGCCCCAGAAAGGCGCTTTGTGCGGCGGCGTGGGCTGCGGGGCCCCGCCAAGCTGCTGCTTTGTTCCCCTTGTTTGTGCGAGACGTGAGCGATGAGTCAGGGCCGTGGGATCCTGTTTGTTACAAGCACTAACCAGGAGGAGAGTTCCTCCTTCCTTCCTTCCCTCCTTCCTTCCTCCTTCCTTCCTTCCCTCAGGAAAAGCAATGGCAGAGAACATCCAGCATCTCCCAGCTGGGAGAGAGGAGGGGCAGCCTGGGGTTATTAATGGGTTATTTTGGGGGTCTGCTGGATGTGCAGAGGTGGAGCCTTGTTTGAGAGGGGTGCAGCCACACGTGGGATGGGGTTGGGAGGGCAGGGCTCGGGAGCAGGGGCTCGGCTCACCTTTGCACTCGCGGCCGATCCGCACGTCCCGGCAGCTGTACTTGATGTGGATCCGGCCGTCCATGTCCCGCTGCGTCTCGTCGTGGTAGTAAACCAGGCTGCCATCCAGGTAGAGCACGAACCAGTTCCTCTTCCAGCGGCGCAGGATGGAGCCTGGTGGGACAGGGAGCAGCTGCAGGAGCCCAGCAAGCCCGGTGGGACACACTCACAACCTCATCCCCCAAACTCGGATCCCTCCTGGGAGCCGCTGCATCCCACAGGACACCTGTGCCTGGCACGAGCAGCCAGGGCAGCGTGAGCAGGTGGCTGTAAGTGGGAAAAGGCTGCCAAAAAAGCCATCAGGCCACTGGGTGCTGCCCTGCCGAGGCACGGGAGCAGATCCAGCCCCGGACACGGAGCCGTGTGTGCTCTCATGGCAGGCAGCCCCTCTCTCTGCTGACGCAAATCCGCGAGCGGCTGAGCCACAATCTCCCTGCTGCCATGGATTACCCGCCCAGGTCAGGGCTCCTTGTGTCCCCCACACCTCACCTCTTCCCAGCAAACCTCCCCAGGTGTTTTCTGGGGGGGCTCCCATCCCAGAAAGCTCAAGGGTGGCACTTACTCTGGCGCCAAAGCCAACCGCTCTTCACCAGCGCCATGGCTGCTGCGGGCTTCACCGGATCTGCTGGGCTGGGAACAGAAGTGGGGTTAAAACAGCAGCTCCTGCCTCGCCCCTGCCTCTGCCCATGGCTCCCACCTCCCCACAGCCTCCGGGGATGGGGATTCACCCTTGCTGCTCCCGGTGTTTCTGGGGGATGAGCTCAGCGCCCGGGTTAATCGGGGTTAGGCAGACGCGGGGTTTCGTCATGTGGGAAACGTGGCGGAGGAGGCACTGCGGCCACCTTGCCTCCTGCCTTAATCTCATTGGGATTTAGGGATTATTGGCCCGTGGAGGTAAAGGCAGAAATCCGGGCCGTGTATAGAAGCAGGCAGTGCCTCGCCACAGCCCCAGTAACTTTCCATGCTAAACGACACCTACACTTGTTTATTTTCCCTGCCTGGATGGAAATTAGTCCTTAATAAGGCCATGAAGTCATCGCTCCCCAGGTCCCCTAGCAGAGCCAACACCCCAGGGGCAGGCAGAAGCAGTTCCCTGGCCATGGCCCCCATTTCCACTGGGAATCCCAGCTCCCAGTGATGGCAACTCGGCACCCTGGCATGGCCTCCAGGACCTCCCACCAGCTCTGGGGCCACGGCAAGGCACAAACACCCCCCAGCACCTCTGTGCCTGTGCTACCGAGTGCCTGAACCCCTGAGCATCCAGCTCCCCGTCGAGTTTGCAGCCCTGCTACCATCACCCGTTCTGCCACATCCCCGGGAAATCCCAGCCCGTGGATACCCCCATCCCCTGGCACCCTCTGCCTGCACTGCCCACATCCCCAGGAAATCCCAGCCCGTGGATACCCCCATCCCCTGGCACCCCCAGGTACCCCCACCCCTCTACACTCACCCTCATCCCACTCTGCTCACAACCCTCGGTACCCACATCTGCTGCCCTCATCATCCCGCATCCCTGACATCTTCCCCCCTCCATACCCAAATTTTGTGGCCAAATTTCGTGGCACCGTTTCTCCCCGCTCAGAACCCTGAGCTCCGAGTCCCGGCCCCCCGGCAGTGTCCCTGCCCCGTTCCCCATCCCCGTTCCCCATCCCCGGTCCCCCCGCCGCCGCCCCGCGCATCCCTCACCGGGCGGAGGCGGCGGTGCCGCTGCGGGATGCGCTGCGCTCCGCTCCCGCCGCCGGTCTCCGGCTCTGCCCGCCCGCCCGCGCGGCTCGCCGGGAGCTGTAGTCCGGCACCGCCAGCCCCGGGGCTGCCCGCCGCCAAAAACCCCGCTTCGCACAGATTTAGCGCCGCTTTCCCCCGATGTAGCCCCGCTTTCCCCAGATTTAGCCCCAAAAAGCCTCTGCCCGCCGAGAATGTCCGTGCTCTGTCCAGGCGCTCCCATCCTCGCTCTCTCTCCTCAAATCCCCCCTTTTCCCCTCTTTCCATCCAGCAGTGCAGGTGCCCAGCCCGAATTTGGGAATCCGTGGGGGAGCTGCTGCCCTGCACTGAGCTGGGCACGGGGAGCGGTGCCCAAAATTCTCAGGATCTTGCTCAGAATGGCTCTGAGGAGGTGTTTCATGCTGAAATAAACCAGGGAAAACTCGAGTTTTAAGCACCAAAGTGCTCGTCTGAAATGAATTTCCAAGTGGACTGAGCAATCCTCTGGGTCAAAATCAAAGCTTGTCCTGGCTCCTGCTGGAATTAGAACAGTCCTGGGCTCTGGGACATGAGGTTGGATTATTTGGGGACGTCAAGACACAAGTCAGGCGACAGCTGTAAATAAAAGATGTTTATTGAGCACATGGCAACACTTTATTTATTTATATATATATATATGTTTTCTATTCCAGCACATTTTTCAACGTGAAGCCCTTTCCCCTCCTCTCCCTCCATTGCTGGCTTTATTTCCTTTTTTTAGAAGGAATTAAATTCATCCAGCAGCCGGCTGGATGATCCCAAAGGAGTTAAAATGGGAATCACCTCCTTAGCCAGCCCACGCTCACAGCCTTGTGCATTCCCCTGTGCTGGCTGTGGGACTGCAAAACATCCTGGCGCTGCTGAATATTCCCAAAATCAGGGAAATTGTTTGGAAATCTGGCTGGGCCAGAGATTTTGTCCTGCCATAAGTCCAGAAAAAAGTTCCCTGAGGAAGGGATTTGGGCTAAAATTTGGATTTATCCACTGGATTGGGCTGCCTCTCCATACAGACATTAATTGGAATTAATTGTTGTCAAAACTTTTCCATTGTGGTTTTCCTTTTGGGAAGGAAACAGTGCCGTTTTGGGAGTTGGAGGAGCTTGATCTATTATTTTTTGTCAACTAGGGTGTGATTTTTTAAAATGTTCAATAGGATAAATTTGGGTGGAAATGGTGACCCAAAGAGGCAGGAAATTATTTCCAGCCAGCAAAAGGGAATACACTCTCAGAAGAGCCAAATCCTGGATTTCCCCCCCGTTTTCCATAGCAGTTGGGGGTTGTTTAATAAAATCCATGAACTCGGGTGCCTCTGGTTTGTTCTTCCTCCAGCTCTGCCTGTTGGAACCTGCTGGGGATCTCCCCCATCCCAGCCACAGCCTCACGTTTTAGGAATTTCCAAACCTCTTCCTATGTCTCAGGAAATCCCTGTCTTCCACAGGGGGTCTCCCCAGATTCCAGGGAGCTGTGGAGATAGGAGCTCAGGGGGTTCAGAGCTGAACGTGGGGACAGAATTTGCTGTTCCTGTCATCCCCACCATGGGGACAGGTGGGCACCTGGTTAAACACCCCAAAAATCTCTGCGGAGGCTCCTTTTCCTGTAGCTGAGCGTGTCCCTTTGGAATCCTGCAGGAGAAATGCACAAGGAGAGATGTTCCCTCCGGCGTGTTTGTTCCCAGGGCAGGGATCAGACCCTCGGCATCCCAGTCCTCATTCCCCGATTCCCGGGGGAGGCGTTCCACACCCCCGGCTCAGGGAGCTCACATCGCCACCAAAAACAGCAGCGACACACACGGAACCGCCGTTGTGAGGGATCTGGGGAGTGTCAGTCCTTGGGTGAGACCCACGGGGTTCTCCATCCCTTTCCAAATACTCCTTTCCTGCCCCGAGCACGGTGAGGGGCTGGAGCGGCGGTGAGGGGCAGGAGGGGCAGCGCTCCGTGAGGGCGGCGGGCACGGCCGGGCCCCGCCGCTTCCCGCTCCCCTCCCGCTCCCGGCCCACGACCCTGCGCCCGCCAGGCGACCCGGAAAGGGTCTCCCGGAGCCGAGATAAGATCGCGGATGGCCGTGGAGCCCCGCCCGGCACATTCCGGTGGGATTCCCGTAGCGGCCTTCTGCCTCCCGTCAGCCTCGCGGACTACAGCTCCCGTCATGCCTCGCTGAACTACAACTCCCGCCATGTCCGGCGGCTCTACCCCTGCCGTACTACACCTCCCAGCACGCCCCACGACAGTCCGGGCCCTGTCGCATTATGTCCTTCCCCTGCCTGCCGCATGGACTACACTACCCATGACCCCTGGCGCCGAGCGGCCAGCGGCGGGCCGCGGCGGCGGGGCGCGGAGCATGCCGGGAGCTGTAGTCTCCGCAGCGGCGGCGGCTGTAACGGTCCCGCTGGTGGTACTGCCCCCCCTACCCCCCCCCATTCCCGGCTGGCGGCTGCGGGAGCAGCGGGAAGAGGAGGAGGAGGAGGAGAGGGAGAGGGAGAGCTGCTGCACCGGCACAGGGGCCGCCGCCGCCCGAGCAGCCGCAGGTAAGGCGAGGGGAAGGCAGGGGGGGACACCCGCGGGTGACAGCGGCGGGAGCGGGGTGGCGGCGTGGGGGCACGGCGGGGATGGAGGGGGGCTGCACAGGGAGGGGGCGGCGGGGCAGCATCCCGCAGCCCCGGGCGGGGGGAGCGGAGAGCGGAGCCCCGGGGCGGGGGGAGCCCGTGTCCCTCCGTGTCCCCCGTGTCCCCCGTGTCCCCCCGGAGCTGCTGCTGCCGCCGTGTCCCCGCGGAGCCCGATCTCCCCGGGGCTCTGTCGGGTGTCCCTCTGTCCGAGCCCCGGAGCCCGCCGTGTGTCCCCGTCCCATCCCCCCGGTACCCCCCCCGCCTGTTGCCCCCCGAACGCGCTGTCCCCCCTTGGCAGAATCCTTGTCCCCCCTCCCGGGCTGTTCCCCCGCTCCAGGCTCTCCCCAATCCCTGGGAGCACGGGACGGGATGCCCGGGCTGGGGGTGCCCCCCGGCATGGGCGAGCCCCCCGAAATGTGCCCGGGGGCACGTGGGGCCGGCGGCCGGGGAGGTGCGGGGACATCGGCAACTCCGGGCTGAGCCTGTCCCGCTGCCCTGCTCGGGGGAAATGCTGCTGGAACGGGGATGGAACGGGGATGGAACGGGGATGGAATGGGGATGGAATGGGGATAAAATGGTTAAAGGCTGCGCGGAGCGGGGGGATGCCGGCGCGCAGCATCCACAGGAATGAAAGCAGGGACGTCCAGGTTGGGAAATGCAAGGCGGCGTTGAGATTTTTCTGCCTGGATAAAATGCCTGTTCCGGTCGTTTTTTTTATGAAAATGTGGATTGTTCCCCCCCTCCCCCCTTTTTTTTTTAATGTCTTTTTAATAGTGATTGCTCGCACGCTCTGTTGTTGGCATTGTGGCGTTCAGGGCAGCGAAGTCCATCGCTATATTGTGGGGGAATAATGCCAAAAAGGAGCTTGGTTTCAGTCCTTTATAGAAAGCAGGGGAGCCTGGAAGTATGGAAATGAAATAAATATTCATTAGCAGAAAGAGGTTTTGCACCGGGTTGGGTTTTTGGGGGCGTTTTTGCCCCCCACTGCACATGGTGATGGGCTTTTGGGTTATGGTTCGTATTTCCATAGGCTGAATTTTATTTATTTGGTGCTCATTATTGTCAAGTGCAGAAAAATGAGCAGGTTGAGGGTATTTTTTTCCCCCCTCTCCTGGACAAAGACATGTTGTGCTAAGCAGAAAGAAACCCCAGAAAGATTCTATTTCTGTTTTAATCAGAATATGATTTAAGATGCAGTGGTGTGTTTATTTTTGCTGTTAAATAGTGATGGAGGAAGTCAGAGCCTTTTTTTTTGTGTGTGTGTGTGTGTGTGTTTTTAAAGGAATGTGAATGATGGAAACATCTTTAGGGAAACATTTTGCTGGACTTGATTGCATCAACTGCATTATTTCATAAAATGTGAGCTGTGAAGTGGTTGTTGATTAGAACTCAAATTGAGGAGCGATGTTGAGCAATGTAAAGAAAAAGGAAATTAGTATGAAGAGACCAAATGCTTATTTTCTTTTTTTTTTCCTCCAGTTCTTTCTGATTCTGAATTTTAACTGTTTCGTGGATTCTCCTGACCCTTATGGTTGAGTCTATTTGAAAAAAAAAACCTAAACAACAACTATGATGTGTGTGTTTATTCTTGTTATACATACATAGTTATTAGAAGGACTGATATCAACCAGCACTGTGCATTTTGCATTAAATTTGTGTTAAATCTGATTAACTTTTGTTCTGCAAGTTGCAAATACCAACTTACCCTGCTATGCATCCCAACTTTTTAATTACCAAAGCAAATGTTGACAGTTTTTAGAAGGAATCTTTCTCTCCCAAACCCCGTGCTTTATTTTAGGGAAGGTGGGATAGGTGTTACAGATGTTATTGTCCAGTTCTAGGGGGTTTGGGGTATATTCTTCAGCTGATTAAAATTCCTGGCTGTCAGCAAAGACACACTTTTTTTAGGACAGGTAGATATATATCCTCTGGAACAAAGGGACTGGAAGCAAAATGTGTTTGGAGTTTGTTCAGAAAACATTCCTTGGAGTGAGAAACATGAATTGCAGAAAAATTTACATGGAATAACCAGGATGCAGTCATTTGGGGAGAACATCTGTGGAGCTGCTTTGTGCTCTTGGTTGATGCCCACCTGTCACACTCGATGGTGAGCCTGCACTGCAGTAGGTGAACAACCCAGGGGGGTTAAAATCTCTCGGATCAAGGGAAGTTTCCCATGGTCAGAGGGATAACAGGGAAGGACGGGGCAGGGAGGTGCTGAAAGCATTTCTGGGAGAGCAAGGATGCTTTGGAGCAGCAGCAGCTCTGTGAAAGGCCTGCAGTACCTGCACTGGAGGCACAATTAGGATGAGAATTGAATCGGGTGAATTGAGTTCTGTGCTGTGCCTGGCAGAGCCCAGCTCCGAGGTGTGTGTGGGATCCAGGGCACTGCCTGCCTTTGGGAGCTGCTCCCAGCCATGGGCTTGGCAGGGAAGTGGGACACTGGGGTGTCACCTGCTGGCAGAGCCGTGCCCAGAATTCCCTCTGGCCCTGGCTCCAGGTGTGCTGGCACTTCAGGCCTTGCTCCTCAGGCGCTCCCCCCAGGAGCCCTGAGAGCATTCCCAGCTCTCTGCAGAGCGGCTCTCGGGGCTGTCAGGAGGGAAGCACAACCTTGCCACCTCCCTGGGAGAGCCCTGTGCTCCTGCAGCAGGGGCAGGAGCTCCATTTGTGTCCCAGCCCTGCCTTTGGGGCTGATGGGATCTGCAGAGGCCCCCGGTTTCCCTTTCCGCAGCACAAGTGCTCCGTGTACTTTCTGTTTCCTCTGTGATTCCCAAAGCCTCTCCCTGTGCTCTCCCCGTTCCTGCCCCCAGTCAGCTCCCTCCTGCCTGTGCCCTCTTCTTCCTCCTCATCACCTGGGCTCAGGTGCTGCTTCAAATCCATCACTTCTCACCTTCAGGCCGTAGGAATATTCAATGTGGAATGACTGACTGGGAAACAGCTCCTGGCATGCTCTGTAGTATTTTCTTTCTGCTGGTTCCAAATTCCAATCCCTTGGTCCCTCTGGATGCTGCTGGCTTCTCGTGCCGTGCAGATGAAGATTTCTGTTTCAGTGACAACAAATAAAATCCACCTGTCTGCTTTTTTACCTGTTGATGGTATTTTAAGTCTCTGGATTAAACAGCACTGTCACTATTTAAAAGTGGGAATAAAATTTTAGGAATTATTTCCATGAGACTCAAATACCAGCTGGACAGACATGGTTCTCCAGAGCTGTTTATATTGTGTCACTTTCTTGTTCCTTCCACTCAGCTGAATCACTTTGTTCCTACTTTTGTGTCACAAACATTGATATCCCTAAATACCAGGGGAGAATGTCAGTGGCAGGGCTGTGTTTATTTATGAAAATTCATGGAATCCCAGAAGGATTTGGGTTGCGAGGGACCTTAAAGCTCCTCCAGTGCCACCCCTGCCATGGGCAGGGACACCTTCCACTGTCCCAGGCTGCTCCCAGCCCCAATATCCAGCCTGGCCTTGGACATTCCAGGGATCCAGGGGCAGCCACAGCTGCTCTGGGCACCCTGTGCCAGGGCCTCCCCACCCTCACAGGGAGAACGTTTTCCTGGTAAGATTTGTGTAAACCTGATTTTAGGAGAAAGTCAGGATGTGATGGCACTTCCTACTTGCCCACCTGGGCAGAGAGAGAGTAAAATCAATGTAAAGTCAATGTAAAAACATGATTTTACCTATGATCTATACTTCACATTATGCTCTGCTTTAACAGTGCTTTGTTTGTGGATAATCTCGAGGTGGGGTTTTATGTTTGTTTTTTAGCTTGAATGGGAAGCAACAGTTGGGAATTTCTAGGATTTTCTTTTGCTGAGGACAGGTGTGCCATGGGCGTCTGAAACAGGAATCCCAGACCTGTAATTAGGATCCCAGGCAGCAAAAATGCAGCTTTTGGATCTTTTTGGCAACTCCATTAAGGCATATCCAGCATTTGCAGATCTGAAATTTGTGGGAGCTCTTTATTTTTAAGACCCACGTAGGGAAGGAGCTTCTGTTGATGATGACGGAGACTCACAGATTTTTTAGAGCATGAGTGGGATTTGGATAATTTTTCCAGAGCTCCTCTGGGTTTTGTTTACTATGGATGTGCAGAAAACCCTGAGCACTGCACAGGAATTTCAAGTGACTGTGCTTTCTGGGAGGGAAAAAAAAATGTGGGCCTGCTGACGCTCCCCAGCAAACCATTTAGGAGATTATCGTCATAGGATTTATAAAAGCTGAAAAAACACCACCCCATTCCCCTCCTCTGGTCTGTATTTGTGCTTCACCCTGTCTCCCTTTCCTCTCCCTGGCTGAAAGGGTCCTGTGGAAAACTGGAGAGTGGAAAAAGGAGAACTCAGAGCAGAAAACTGGGGTTGGTCGTGGCTCCGGTGCAATAATTTCTCAATAGGAAGGCTGAAGCTGAAGTGTGTTTGTAGGCTGATGGGTTTTTGCCTTCCTTGTCTCAGCAAGGGTTAGAGATTTGGGAGGATTATTGGAGACAAGCTTAGAGTATTTTATGAGAGGAAAAGTACTAAACTGGCAAAAAAAAAAAAAAAAAAAGAATAGATGGCATCATGCCTGCTAGGCATGTCTAATTCTTTGATAAAATGGATAAAGATTGCAGACTGCAGCAAAAGTTAAAATAGACCATAACATCTCGGGGTCCGCAGGGTTTTTCCTTCTAATTTGCTGTAGAGCTTAATAAAAAAGATTTGCCTCTTTTATGGCATCAGGCTCTTTATCTGCCACAAATTAAAGCCCAGTGCTTGAGCTTCTGCTTTCTCTGCTCTTAGATAGCAGCTCCCTAAATTTGATAACGAGTGGGTTTTACCATCCTGAGTTTGCAAAATAAATCCTGAGGACTGGTGAGAAATTTTGAGCATGGTCTTCTTTTATCCCCATTTTCCATTCAGTTCTTTATACTTGGATTTATA